GTTCTCAACGATTTATGTCTTGCCAAGGCCTGCTAACACTACCGGCATTTTTTGATAGTGAATACAAATTCGTATTTGCAACTATTGTGTCTAAAATATTGTTCATAAAAAAAAGAAGGAAAAGGTTAATTGGTTTTGAAAAGTTGGCCTTGTATTGTGGCAGCAAATTTACAAAGGCGCGATGCAGTGGTCTCAGATGAATGAAATAATCAAAATTATGAAGAGGTGGTGGTAGTTGTACCGTTGCTCTGCGTCTACCTCTACGAACACTCGTGGTGTCCTCTTCCTCGTCCTCAAGGTCTGATTCTAGATTTTCCAAAGAACGTTGGCGGGATGTCAAGAGTAGAACATACTCTTCGTCATCGACGGCATGCACTTCTGTATTTTCAAGAGGAAACGAACTTAAAGTTGAACTTGAAGGTAGTGCGTTCGGTCTAGTCAAAGAGGACATAATTCCGTAATCCCAGAAGTTATTTTTGGAGGGTGGAATGTTAGATTTTTGTTAGAAGAACCGTGGGAAAGAAATCATGGGGTGATCAGCAATATAGCACATTCAAATATTTGCATAAAAAAGGGGGGGTATGCTTATGAAAATCTTTTGTAGTTATACAAAAGTAGATCAAAAATAATTTAAGCGGGCAAATTTGTCTGCTTAATGGTTTAAGGGATAAAAAATTCTTTATATTGTCACAACTGTGTAGAGTATTTTGAATAATTTCTCAAATTAGTCTCAAAGTTTGCATCACACAAACATAATAATATGCTCTATCTGCCAGTAGGTCACAGCCAGTGTTGTCAAATTTGCATATTCCCAGCTTTTTTAACTGTCCTTGTGTCCCATGTCCCACTGTCCCTACCCTTAACCAACCTATAAATAAATACTAAAACTTTATAAATATATATAAAAATTAATTTCAAACAATTTTAATTAATAGCCCAAAGCAGATTTTTAAGTAAAATTTTGTGAATTTACATTTAAAAAAATAAGTTTTGTCCCAACATTGTCCTGAAGGTGTCCCTTGACAATACTGGTCACAGCTAATACAATCAATTTAACTGGCCTATCTTGAAACAGATAATAAATAATAATAATAATCAAATAATAATCAATTAATCATGAAGGCACAGTGAGTAAGGTGGAGTAAAAGCAATTAACACAGTATCAAACAATATTTAATAATATTTCACAATATTACAACACAAGATGTAAGTTTATTAAAATATAAAGTATAAAGTTTTTAAAAGTAAAGTATAATTCAGCAACAGAAATATTATCATATGTTAGAATGTCTATTTTACCATTCCTGAAGTAAATTTACATTTCTATCTAATAATAATTAAAATATTTCAATATATTCTGTAATATTAAGTAATAATTAATTAACTAATAACTATTAATGAATTCTGATCAATATTAATAAGTTCAAAAGGCATTACAAGGAACTCATTGGTACCAAATAGAATAGTGAAAACAGTTTTCTCCCAGTCTTTAGTAGATACTTTAACTTGCCAGAAACCTGAAACAAGATCTAAAGTTGAAAAGAAGACAGAATGTCCCAATTATACATGTTTCCAAAATTGATTTTGGATTTTTGAGGTATTTCGACTTTTTGAAATTTATGCAAAATCTATTCTATATATGGAAGTAA